CGAAACTAATGACTAGGCAGTATGGTCTCTGACCTTCGCCTGTTCCAAACGGAACGAAGGAAAAAAAATTTACTACTGTCAAACATTTTAGGTTATGTTTACGATACCGTACAAAATACAAATAATCACTTTTAATTAGGTTTTTGAGATAAAACTTGAAAAAAAATCATGCTTAATGCAATTCGGAAAAGTTTACCGGCTCCAATAAACTACGTGGTGCGGTTGTTCCAAACATCCGCGCCCGTAGCTACGGAAAGGTTTGTCCACAAACGGATTCCCGCAGACGATGAAGGCGTTCAGGGCGAAAAGATCATCGATCTGGATAATCAGCTCAAATTGTAAGATATCGTTTATCAAATTCACGTAAAAATACTCTATTCTTAGGAAATGAAATTATTTTTCCGGATTTTTGTTTATCTATTTATTATGTCGTATATTTGTTTTTTTCAAACAAACCGACGTTTCGGGCCTGTAAAGGGCCCAAAACGTCGGTTTGTTTGAAAAAACGAATATACGCGATTTAAATCCGGAAAAATAGTTTCATTTCCTATGTGTAACAATCGCGAAAACCTAAGAACTTGATACTCTATTCTTATAATAATTTGAGGTTTCTTTTTAATGTCATATTTCAATCAGTTTGCTTCATTAATAGAAAAAATAAGGCTTAACAGTAAATCTGCTTTCCAAACTACAACTTCAGTACATGCGTAAATAATGACCCTTATTTGTGTATGAAGAGTTTATTAATGTTAAATCTTTTCTGATTCATATTAAATCATTGTATATTTTTATTTATTCTTACATTCTAGTAGAAGTAGCTTTACATTGAAATTACATGTGAGTTATACTATAACAAACTATAATTGTATTAGTCAATTTTCGCACATTTTTATCCATATTACACAAGTATAATATGACATGCTTAATAAACAATAACAAGATATTTATAAAATAACTCGGTTATGCAATAAGTAATGAATACCGCCATTGGTTGTAGTGGTAAGACTGGATGCTAAATGAGGAGGTTTGATTCCCTTCCTAGTTGGATGAATTTGTGAAATTAACTTGTATAAATTGGTTCTGCTCTGAATAATCCGGGTAGTGCCCTAGACTGAATTTTGTTGCTCTATGAGTAACTGTACTCACGCGAGTACACGGTACACTTTATTAGTACTCCTAGTAGAGACTGGGTGATTGATGTGGTTAAGGCTCAATTTATATTGCAGTGGAACAGAATGGAAGCAAATTTTTGTAATGATATTGTACATAGCAAAAAAAAACATAGTAAAAAAAAATATGATATTGTACATAGCAAAAAAAAAACAGTATAATAATAAAAATACAGAATTCCATGTAAGATTTTGGCTCATATTTAGTTAGTAACACAATTGACCACAAAGTTCATATTGCTATGTACAATATAGTTACAAAAATTTGCTTTCATTACGTTCTATAACAATATAAATTGAGCCTATCTGGCAGGTTTTCACATTATTTTATGTAAGAAAGTGGAGTTTTAAAAATAAACAAAGTTAGGATTCGGAGCAGTCAAGTTCATTCCAATAATGTGATGTGTCAAAGTAACATTTGGTAATTTCTTAGCTAACTGTGCCTCTGTGAACAGTACAATATCTATTATTTCTGTTCAACAGGAAACAAAATATATTTCCAACTGCAGATTCAGATAACCTACTCTTCAACGGAGTACCCTACAAAGATCTTCCTGTGTGCAATGTCAGAGTGAGTCATAACAACACCATTTTCACGGTGACCGATGCTGCGGGTGTTGTAAAACTCATAAAGTCCTGTGGAATGGAGGGATTCAAGAATACCAAGAAAGGGACTAACATTGCTGCACAGACCACTGCCATCAGTATAGCTACTGTAAGTTCCACTAAGAGCTAACATCTGTTCAGTCATTAGTCATTTGTCAGTGTTTCAAACAACATTTTGTAGATTTTTTCAGGGGAGCATATTTTAGGGTTTAACAACTGTTTTAAAATATTTACGTCCTGCTTCAAATTCAATTTTAAAACTTGAATGTAATTGAAACCAAAATAGAATTTTAAAACTACGTAAATATTTTAAAATAGTTGTTAAAACATGCTTCCCTGAAAATATACCAAATCTCGTTTATGCGCGTTCTACAAAACATCCACAATAATTATATTCCTTATGAATTTTTATTCTTAAAATTTGTTTTAAATATTGCAGACATTTTTGTAGTGCAAGTATTTACCAATGTTGTATTTTCTTTTGCAGAGAGCCATTGAGAGAGGAATTAAAACTGTGAGAGTCAAAGTCAAAGGCTTAGGACCAGGCAGATTGGTAATAGTTTTTTTCCTCTGATGATGTCATAAGCCTATGCACACTATTTTGTACACGCATATGACGCACGTTAACTCGATTTAGTTGCCGCCACTAAACTTTAGCGCACGTTCACAAATACAGTGGCGCCGTAACCGCGAGTCGTGTACATAAAATATGCCATGTGCTACGCACTATAAGGAAATTCAGACGATTGCGGGTGCTGACGCCGCCCGCAGTGGCGTGAGCGCGCACTCCTCCCCCACCCCTTCACTGAGCTTTGCAAACGCAATGTTTCTGCGCGTTTGAATCGATAACAAACGCGCGTAAAACAACAGAGGCGCTTCTCGCGCGCGTTTACAACAATCACATAAATGCAACAATCTGCTGTTTGAGCCTCTATGGCGCGTCGTCTGCGTGTAAAAAATGCGCCGTGTGAATAGGCTTTTAATCAATCAGCTTAAACAGTAAAAAATGAAATTCAAAACTGTTTATAGAAAAAACTTTGTCTTGATCAGTTTGTGCATAATTGCTCTTGTCTTGTCGACTCTAGGAGCATTATAATTTTATGTATTTCTTTTACAGTCTGCAGTAAAAGGTTTACAAATGGGTGGTCTAGAAATAATCTCAGTGACAGACAACACGCCTGTTTCATGGAACCCTCCTCGTCCAAGAAAGGCAAGGAGATTGTAAATTATTCTATTATTATTTAGTTTTTAGTGTAATAGTAATATAAATTTGTTGTACAAGATTGTTTTATTATAAATCCTTAACTTAATATTTACAATACAATAACAACTAAATTTGATCTGTCCAGTTAAAAACCGTATTTAGATTGGGTTTGTCTCCTTGACATCCTATTGTTTGCCCATTGGTTTTGCAAATCCACTTCATTCGCTTTAGCCTGAAAAAAGTATATACATATACATACAAGTCACAAACAGGTAATAAGAGGCCTTAATGATAGCTTCAAATTTAAAAAAGACGAACCTACCGTGACACACAGACAGAGTGACTAAAGTAATAGATATTTCATTATTATGTTGTTATAAGTTTCCCCGATTTAAAAATGGAAAAAAAATCATGTATTAAGACGAATTTTCTCTCAAGATGTCCGTGGTCTTTAATCATGAGATTCCGCGGCGGTGACTTGACAGAAACAGTTTCTATTTAATCACCGGCGAAACGTGTCCAGCAAAAAAAAACTACTTATGAATAGCCTTAAAAAAGACAAATTTTGGATGCTCACTTTATGTGCCAAATAAGTGATCTGATGCTTCCTTCTCTGCTGACTGGTAGGCTCGTTACCCTTCTTTTTACTTGACGACACTCTCTTGGTGGTGTCATCCATAAGACCTTTCATCAGTAACTCACGCGCCTCTGCTAAGACTTCTTGTTGATTCACATCGACGATTTGTATTTCTTCACGCTTGCGCTTGCCCCGGGCGCCGCATAGTTGGCGTATCTGGAATTCGCGTTTTGCGTTAGATATTTGTAAAAAAACATTGCCGCAAATGCATGAGTTCGTGATTAAATATTTCATACAATATGCTATGCCACTTTGTAATACTTACAGCCTCATCATCCAACACAATTGCCCCATTATTTGAACTTGCAGCTGTTTCACCACTGTAACTTGGACCTTCTTCTATGCCATAGTTACTTGCAACATTACTGCTAACATCCATAGATTGTGTTGGATTATCAGGTTCTGCATAATCTGGTTGCAATTCCACTTGATTTGGAACATCTTTTTTAAAATATGACTCAATGCTTCTTGGTCTTTTATTTTGCGTTACTACTTCTATAGGTTTATCAATATCTAATGGACCATCATAAGCAGGTATTTCAACTGGTTTGTTTATGGAGAAAAAGTCATTTTGTACTTCATCATCATTGTCACTGTCATCCGAGTAATTGTTGTGAAGTATGTTGTTCGTTTTTGATTTTTTATCAGGTGATAGTGTCAGTATCTTTTTCTTCACTGTTGCTGTAGGTTTCTTAGTTAGTTGCTGAGGGACCAGGGATATTGTTTTGGTCATGACTGCATTTTTAGGTTGCGGTAGGATGCTAAGTAATCCCGACTTTTTCTATAATAAAGACAGTAAGTCAGATGAAATATTGGTATAAAGTGATTAAAAATAAGTTTTCTATACTTACCCCATTGGTAATCTTCGGTTTAGGTACTGTAACTTTTACATCTTTGAACTAGAACAAGAATTACACATATATAACAATATTATTAACACACAATATGCTTTAAGGCATTTAGTCATATGACACTATTTCATTTATATGGTTTAAAAAGTTTTTGCAATCCTTACCACCGTTTTTGTCCACCATAATTTTTATGTTATAATAATGAAACTGCAGTACATAGTCATTGCTATAGTCTGTTCCAAACCATTTTGAACAAAAAGTAAACAAACCTGTTTGGTTAAAATTCTGAAGCAATCAGTCAATAAATAGAATAAGTAACACTTTAATGTATATTTCGAAGATTTCGACTTGATATATCATCACTTTTTCCAACAACATTAATTTCAATAGCATCGTAACATCGTATTTGAAAAATGGTGTCCAAAAGTGAGGTTATTATTCATCTATACTTCTATTACTTGCCTATGGTTGCATAGTGCTGTTCGAAAAAAAACATTCGGTTCAATTAATTAAAGTTTAGTAATCGATTATTAAATCTAACATTTCAATCACAATCGACAGAGTATCTAATGGTCGTATTCCAGAACTCTACTCAATGCTCAAGTCAGGATTTGAGCAGACTCGAGTATGATTTCAAGCACTGGAAATGCGACCCTAATTGCAAGGACTTGAGTATGATTTCCAGTGCTAACTGCAATACTCAAGTCCTGACTTGAGTATTGAGTAGAGTACTGGAATACGACCCTTAGTGTTAGGATTTGAAGGAGGATTTCAATTGAAATTTTAAATATGCTTATATAGGTTATGTAAGGAAAGCCGCTAGTATGACTCAATCGAACAAATCGATTCATTCAATTAATTAATCAATTTGTTGCTGGCGTTACAATTGGCCATCACTAAACCGTCTATGGTCGAGTCAGTGACTTGTTTGTTTAATTTGTGTTCAAAATGGATTGAAACGAAGTATACTTGACATTTGGCATCATTGATTATTTTGATGGTGTGAAGCATTGACTTACAAATAAATGGACGACGGGTCTAATACAA